GAAGAGCGAAACAAAACAAAACTTCTCGTCTGCAGGGTGCCCGTCGATTACCTGCGGATCAGTTAATTCCACTATGTAATCGGAGACTTTCAAACAATGCACTTCAATGTTTGTTTTTTCTATACCAATTTTGTTAAACGCAAAGCAAATCGGTGAAGCGCGTTTGTACAGCATGTCGCAGGGCGCTATTAGAGTGTCGTCCACCAGCTGGAGCATATTATTTATTTGCGTACTCAGCTCTCGTGGCAGTCTCGTGTAACTACTTCCGGTGTCTAATACGTACTTTTGGTTATTGAAGTACGGAATTTTTAGTGATTTGCGATGCCACATACTCTTCGTAGCGACTATAACAGGCGCCAGATTGTAAGAATTATCCTGGTATACAAAGTTGAAATGAACAGTCGGATTAATCTCTCTTTGCGACAATAAAAATTCCATTGGCATGAATATCGATGCTGTCTTCCAGAATTCATTCATCTGCAGCGAAAGTGTGAGTTGCGTGACTTTAAAGAAGTACTTTTCCTCGTATTTCTCAACTTTCTGAGCAGTTCTGACTGCACTGCGCAAATAATCAATGTAGACGCTTTCATCGACACGGAGTGGGAGCGTCGGGTCCATGATAAATACAGCTATATATCCGCCCCATCCGTAAGTAGACTCGTTTCTAATTTCAGTTGGAGATCTTTTCATCTGGGCTTGACTTCCTAAATAAAAAGTACTAGATTCTCCTTCACCAAAACTAATATCAACTCTCGTCGCTTCAGGAGGATATAATTTCATCAGCTGTGTTATTGCTTCAGGAAAAGGCACCACACCATCGTTACCTCCTCTGTTCAAACCTAAGCCAAGCACGAAATCAAATGAGAATAAATTTTTGACAGGTTTTCCGTCACGTATTTCGACCATTTGTCCTCCAGTAATGCAATTGATATGCGCGCCATGGTATAAAATAATCTCTTTAAGCTTCCCAAAAAATTTGTGCCTGAGATACCTCATCGTGTTTTCTTTAGTAAAGATGCTTCCCACTAAGTTGCACAGCGCACCTTCGCCCGCTATCAAACATGGATTATTAGCGTCAATTGATATCAGAGCGTGAGAACCTGTGTCGAGTAAAGCAATGCCAGAACTACGGAGCGAGTGTTCAGGAT